TATTAGAATAGAATAAAAGAAAGAAATGAAGTAAACAAGAAAAGTGTCTAATTAAACAGTAATAGTGAGAGAATTCAAGATTGAATAGAGAGAATGCAAGCCATCTTTCATTTTTAAATGAAGTTGTAAATATTTCTTGTTTAACATTGTTTCATGAAGATGTAAACCTTCATTACATAAATCAAGAAATGAAGATATTTCTTTCAATAATTGTTCTCGATGTTCTTTATTAAAATTAGTACTTTTGATCATTTCAAAATATTCAATAATTCCACCATTCACTTCTAGAAATATGAGTAATAATTAATAAATAAAAAGTATAACAAACGAGGAATTAATGATCCTTGTAAAAGAGATAAGAGAGTTGTAGTTGGATTGTTTCTTTTGGTTGAGATATTAATTTGTGAAATAAGTTGTTTTTTCTTATTCATTACATCGTCAATACAACATTCAATTGGTGTACAAAGATATTCTTCAATATGAATAATTTTTTGTCTTATCAATTCTGATGGGAGAGAGTCTTCTGTTGTAATAATAAGTTTTTTCTTCCATATATCTTTTATAGTAATATTCTTTTTATCTTTAGTTTTAATGATAGGTATTTCAGATATAAATGTGTTTGTTTTATCTTTCTCTTCTAGTTTCTTAACAGTTCCTATTTGAATAAATGATGTATCACTTGGAAGTTCTTTAATATCTTTATTTTGATCGATTATTGTAATACTCCCGTTCACTGTAACACCAAGTGATTTTGTCATTTGTGTAATTGCATCTCCAATTCGTAATTCTGATCGATAAATATATTCTTTATTTTCCAATTCACCCCATTCTATTCCTATAAATTTAACAAAATAATATTCTCCAATATACATAAGACTTTTATCATTTTTCATTTTATATAATTCTGCCATTTTCAAATAACATTTTGAAACTTTATTCATTTCTTCTTTGTATTTATAATATTCAATTAATATTTCATTCATTTTTATACTATATTCATACATCTTTCCTTCTGTAAAATATTCAATACTTTTATTTATACTTCTTTCAAATCCACTTTCATTAAATGGATATTCTCTATCATTTCCATCAATTTCTATTTCATTTTCATTTATTTTTATATGAAATGGTATTTTATTTATTTCAATTATTTCTTGATTTATTGGTTTGATACAATACCATATTATTTCAATAATTTTATTCATTGAAATTCCTGCTTCAATATAATTCCCACATCGTTCTTGTGTTTGAACAAGTTTGTCAATCCATGTATAATATAGTCTTGGATATTTTTGATATTTCTTTGCAATTTGAACATATTTTTCTTGAATAAGATTCATATCTGTTTTATATTTATCCATTTTAATTAATTCATGTGAAACACTTAAAATTTCTTTAATTTGAAAGACAAGTTTATTCATATCATTTTCATACAAACACTTTTCTTGTTTATTTTCTATTTCTGTTTCTAGTGTTTCTTCTAATAATATACTTTCTTTTAGTTGAAGTTCTGTGATTGCTGTAATTGAATAATATGATGTAATTGAAAGTGTTTTATGATATTTATAATCTATTTCAATGATTCTTTTATAATATGTATAACATTTCTCTCTAATTGTAATTTCTTTATCATTCATCATTTTTATGATATTTCTAATTAAAGGAAATGAAAATATTTTTACTTTCAAATAGTCTATATTTTGGTTTATTAATATTTTATCTATTCCATTAAAGAGATTAGATAAATAATCATTTGTCATTGGAACATAGAATAAAAGATTTACCATTATATCAATATATTTTTCTTTTATTTCAATTCTTTCTTTATTTTCTTTCAATACATTACTAACTTCTTGAATGATTATTTTTCCATTTTCAATATAAATTTCTTTAAGTAATTTTGTCATTTTCATTGAAGGTCCAACATTTCCTTCAGTTTCTTCTATTATTTCTTCTTTTATCTCGTTTTGATTCTCTTCTTCTTTCTTTTCTTTTTCTGTTTTATATGGTTGATTATAGTTCTTGTTTATTTCTATTTTCTTTCTTTCTCTATCTCTTATTGTTCTTGTTTCTTTAATTTTTTCTTTCATTATCATTCTATCAACATCTATTTCTGTTCCTTGAAATATTATATTTCTTATTCCTTCTACCATGTTTATATCTCTCCCAATTTGTTGATACCGCTTCAGAATAAATTTCATTGTATATGCCATTTTCTCTTCTTCTTCTTCATTCTTCATTATTTTGTTATTCTGAATCATCATCAAAAAACAACAATAAAAGATAATATGTTCCCATTCTTCTCCCTTGTTTTGCCATTCTAGAATATTCATACTTTCTTTCAAATATTCTTTAATACACATCTCTTTTATGTTATTATTCATTCCATTGACAAATCCTTTATTATAAAATAAGAAAATAATTGTATAATTTGTTCTTTTCATTCCTTTTAATGATTCAAGAATATATTTCCAATAATGTAAAAACTTTTTAGATATAACTTCGTTTTGTGTTTTTATTGAGAAAATTCCTTTGTAAAACTCTTGGTTATTGATAAATTGGTTAAAAGATTCTGATAGTTCAAATTGAGGACTATTTTGTTGCACTTCTCCTTCATTGATTAGAGTGTTTGTTTTATTAATTAATCTCCCAATTTGATAACTTACACCTCTAAAACACTGATATTCATTACAATGTCGTTTAAAGACAATAAGTGTATTAATGAGACTAATTAGTGTTTGTTGAATATTTGACTCGTCATATTTAGTTAAATCTTCTTGGTCTAATGCAAGTAAAGTCATATTAATAAAAAATCCAATTCCTATGATATAACGTTCTGGGTCTAAACTAAAATGAGAATTTGTTTGGAGTTTTTCTATATATTTAGTAATGATTTGTATAAAAAGATCTATTTTCCATTCATTCTTTTGTATAATTGTTGCAATTACATGAGAGATGATTTTTTGAGATAATAAAAACGAAATAGAAGTTAATTTTGATATAATAAATGCTAATTTATGTATATTTATTATATCATTTGTTATTAATGTTTGAGAGAGAAAAAATAACACAATTTCATATCCATTATTTTTGTATTGACAATTGGAGAGTTTGTTTAATTCATTTTCATTAGATTTAACTATTTCAAAACAATTAACTTTTTGTGTACAATTTCCTACAACAAGATACACAATACAAATTCTTTTTTCTTTTTTATATCCCATTATTATTCTCTCTTCTTTATTACATTGTGTCATTGTAAGATTAATAACCCCTTTATATTCTTCTCCTTTGTTATTAAACAAAAGATGGATTATCTTATTTTCTTTGTTTGTTTTGAACATTATCATAACTTGATTGGATTCTATTGTTGTTTTAATCTTTTTAGTCTCTTCTTTGTTAATTTTCATATTTCTATCACTTTCAATTTCAATGATTCCATGTTTTATTTTTTTAATTCCTTCTATCTTTTTAACAAATATAATATATTGTTCATCATTGTATTGCTGTATTGTTCCAACTTCATGATGTTCAAAACTTATCAACTCATTGTCTGATCCTCCTACAAATATTTCAATTTGGCATTTGACTTGTTTTATCTCCTCTTCTTCAATCACTTCTTTGATTGTATTTTGTTTACTACTCACATTTCTAATTGGAATAGTATCAATCTTTGTTCTTCCACAAATAATTTCATTCATTGGAATTATTCCTATTGACTCAATATTATATTTGTTAATAAAAAGTCCTTTGTTTTTCACTTCTTCATTAATACAAAAAATACAGAGACTCTTCTTTTCATATTCGTGTTCATTGTTATTTAATATAATACTTTCTGGTATTTCTATACATCTAATCTCAGAGACTATTTCTTTTGTTTCATCAGAAATTATTCCAATAATGATTTTACTCATACCCTCTCTTTGTGTTTCAATTTTATCAATCCTTACACATAGTGTGTTATATTCTTCTTCATATTCTTTCATTCTATTGAATTGAGAATCAAGAAGATGTTCTAAATCAACTTCCATATTTTTATTTTCTAGTTCTACATTGATTAAGGTATCTAATCTATTTTTAATTGGCAAACCAAGCAGGAACTAAAATGTCAATCGACACATGACGAATGTTCTTCAATACATAGATGCAAGAAGAATAGGGGAAAGAAACAGATTAGTTAGAATTGATGTTCCAGAGAATAGTGAAGTAGTTGTGAAGAAGGAATATCAGAGATTGGATGCAAACACACCCTCATTTTGTTGTCAAGTCGAACAATGATAATTTGATTATTTTAATACTTTAACATTTCTAATATTTTTGACTTTATGCTCATCTCGTTATTAAGTGGCATTCATGTGAAATGTAAATTTACAATGAATAGTGTCAATTGATTCAAAAGAATAAATACCAAGAGAAACATAAGTGAGTAATGAATAAAGGGAAAGAATAAGAAAGAGATAATTAATGAATAGTGAAATGAGAAGAAGTTAAAACGAAGATAGAAAGAATTAAACAAT